CCCCGGAAACATGGTGCTCCGGTCGAGCTCAATGGGGTTCTCGGCTGATCGTGCACCGTTACGACGTGTTCCGGGGCGGGTTCCGAGCATAGTTAGAGCAAACGTCGGATGTGTTGTTGCCCCCTCCCTATACCTACAGGTGACTTTAGAATCGGCTGTTACTTTTATACTTATAGAGGTGCGAAAAGCAACTACTGACGCTGTCCTTGTCATTGAATTGGAGCTGAGTAATTATTTCAGTCTACTCTTTTGACCAAAAATCACTCCGGCATACCTTTAAATTTTTTGAAGATCTTTACTAGTAGTTTAAATCCATTCATTTGTCGTTTTCAAAATAATCAAGAATTGTTGAGTTGTCATATTGTTTACAGCTGCCGTATGAACCTGAACGGCCATTAATGGAAGAGGTAATACCGTATTGTAAACTCCTATGTATAGAATAATCCTTGCCAGACCAGCTAGTGCCAGGATGAGCCACTCGTCGAGGAAATCTGGCAGCCAGTGCAACTCTCCCCTGGGCACCCTCCTCAAAAGTACTCAACTTGCACCTGGTACTCACTTAGTCGGTCGAGAAAAGAGGGGGGAAAGAACAAAGTGGTCAAAACAGTAAAAATACTATAACTTCCACAAAATTCTGTAAGTCGAAGTTGGCTAGATTTCAGGGAAATTTCCTGAAAAATCCTTTTTTTAAACCGACTGAGTTCCGTTTCCACCTCCCCGCCTCCCTCAAAGACTTGGTGACGTTCCTGTGAATATCTTCTCTTCTTCCGGAGCAAAATGCTCGCTCTCATGCAGAGGAATTCTCGGCGTTGGCTCAACCTGGCTCGTGCTCTGCTTAGTTACTGCCTAATACCTGTCGATATTGCAACCTCATCTCCTTCGTGTGACTTTCCCGACTTGAAAAAGGCATGGAATCACACTCGTGGACATCGATATGAGTTACCTAAGGTTGTTCTGTTGCAGAGGATAGTGTTGGATGTGAATATTGTGCAGTTGCATGGAGTGATCATAAATAGAATGAGAACATCTGGTCCAGAGTTGGAGGGAGGAATGCCGTAGAAGCAACTTCGCACCTTGCGGACCTTTCTACCAGCGTCAGCCGCGCGTACGAACTCTCCGACAGGGGTCGTTTTTGTAGAAGTTGAAGTTGGGGTCGCGGTTGCGGGAGAGGGGTAGTTTTGCTGAGTTTTCTGACGATTCCGGCCAAAAGTTTACGAAACGAGCGTGAAATAGATATTATGAGGGAATTTCCCGTCTCTTAATTCCTCTCCACCCCGCTCGACGGCGCCGATGTGGAGGCAAAAGTGTGCATAGTCGGAGTGCGGCGACTGATTTAAAAAGTGCGAACACTGCGGTTGAGATGTGCTAGTCTCGCCACTTGAATCGCGCGACAAAAGCGCTATCCCTCAGGTCGCGTTCATACACAGTTCGCGACTCCGGAGATTAGGATAGTACGCGACAATGAAAAACATATGTATTGACGGGAGATTAGGATAGTAGTAGATTAGGATAGTAGTAGAGTAGGAGATTGCGCTGACAAGATTAGATACGTATCGATTGAAATCGCCGGAGAGTAGTAGATTGCGATATTACGATAGTAGGATAGTAGTAGAGTAGGAGATTAGGATAGTAGTAGATTAGGATAGTGCGCTGACAAGATTAGATATGTATTGATCTATTCGCTTGAAGTCGCCCAATCTACTACTCTCCAGCGATTTCAATCGATACGTATCCAATCTTGTCAGCGCAATCTCCTACTCTACTACTATCCTAATATCCTGTCGCCTACTATCCTAATCTCCCGAGTCGCGAACTATGAACGCGGCCTCGCCGCCACTGAACGCCGCTCATCTTGCAAAGGCAAAGCTATGACCCACGCGTTCAGGTGTCGGCTTCTGCTCGTCCGATATGCTCTCACGTTTGTTTTCTCTTCTCATCGTCGAGTGCCTTTGAGCCGTAGTACAGGTCACCTGAAAAAAGAAATGATCTGTACCACGACGTCTTCTTAACCTCTTATTTCACCGATTTCCTCTTTCCCTTTCCTTGCAAGAACATTCGATTTCACTCTTCCCACTCTTCTTTCGGAACGAATTAGTGATGACTTGATAGTGAAGGATCCATTGAGACAACGAAGTCATGACATGGTGCGCAGTATACTGCCTACAAAAGAGTAATAGCAATTGGTAGTAACCAGGAAGGTCTTTCAGGGCGTGACAAGCTTTTTGAAAACGGTCTTTTGCATGATATAGGGGCAGATGCGGGAACCACAGAACCATGTTTAATTTTTCCTGAACGGCCCTCTGAAGAAAAAGGGGTCCCTAGTTCGATTCCTCGTGGTGACAAATTTTTGCATTTCGAGTTGACGTTCCAAAATTCGCGCAAAATGGAGTTAGCATGAATAATTAGTACCATATTCATGATTAGGACCGTCAGTAACCTTACAAATAGACTTTGATTAAAAAACTGGTGAAAAAGGTGTGACACCACAGTGGGGCTGCTTGGTGTCACACCTCTTACACCAATTTTAAGTCAAAGTCTTTTTGTAAGGGTTACTGACGGTCCTAATCATGAATATGGTACTAATTATTCATGCTAACTCCATTTTGCGCGAATTTTGGAACGTCAACTCGAAATGCAAAAATTTGTCACCACGAGGAATCGAACTAGGGACCCCCTTTTCTGGTATTCAGAGGGCCGTTCAGGAAAAATTAAACATGGTTCTGTGGTTCCCGCATCTGCCCCTATATCATGCAAAAGACCGTTTTCAAAAAGCTTGTCACGCCCTGAAAGACCTTCCTGGTAAGGGTAACTTACACTGCGGATGTCGTTTAGCTAAGGTGTGCAGTGCAGAGCTGAATTTCTGATGATTTCCATGAAAAATCTGATTGTCGAGAGATCAAGAGCACGTTATTTCCATGCTCATGCTCTATCTGAGTTTCTTCCTTCCTTTCCCTCAAGTGTTCCTTCCTGCGTGCATGTTGAATGTTGTTTCAGCAATGAAACGAAGTGTTTTTTTTTCAGTTTCGGTCGCCATCACCAATGACGAACGCTAGCTGCATTGCAAGGTTTCATCCCGAAGCGGTCGACAAGTTTTCTATCGTCGCCTTCCCTCTTGCATTTACATTTTTCAACGTAGGCTTTTTTCTCCTTCTGAAGAACGTTTTATTTGGTTTGTTTCCTAACAGCAACGGTATAAACAAATGTGCGATTTCACATAAAAGAAAAAGAAAAGTTAGGAACTTAAAAACAAAAAAAGACCTAAAAAATTCCTACTTCATGGGAGAAATACCCAACCCCAGCCTCTACTTTGGTTGTTGGGAAGAAATTCATGCAGCTTTTGACATATGTTTAGTATTAGTATTGCTTTCCGCAATTCCGACGAATTTTATAAGAAGTAAGAAATGTAGCTCACTTTCGTTGCATTTTTTCTGTTTTAGAACATAATCTCTTACAATACGTGGGTACTCATTCGAATTCATTTTTTGGCCGCTTTCGGGTTCCCGACAGGAGGGACGTAAGCAAACCAGCCCTTTTGGCGCTTCGGCTGGGACCGTATGCTGAATGTTGGGGAGGGGATGGAGTCCCCGACGGTGGACGGACCACTTCAACTCGGTCCTTAGAACCGCCACAATTTGGTGCTTACCTCAGAACTAAGCCTTAAAGAGAGGACGGGTCCGTCCCCTCTCCAAGGCTTAGTCCTGGGGTGAGCAAACCAGCCCTTCTGGCGGAGCTGCTGGACCAGCTGCACCACTTGCGTCAGTACTCTCCTATCGTACCAACCGAGTTGAAGTAAACCGTCGACCGTTGGGGACCCCATCCCCTCCCCAACATTCAGCATACGGTCCCAGCCGAAACGCCAAAAGGGCTGGTTTGCTTACCTCGCGAGGGGTGTGGGTACTTAGGACAGAACGCGACTTTTTCGCTCTTCGCAACGCGACATCGCGCGGCAGGCTGGCGCACCCGTAGCGAAAACAACTACGGTATGGAAGAACGCGCGATTGGAGCAGCTTTTTTGCATGCGTGAATTTGTAAGTTTCTGATTCCTTACTTGCCCGCGCTCACACCCATTGTATTGATAAATGCGGTGAATCACTAATTCTGTCTCATTATTGAAAACGTTTTGTGACTTACACGATTCCGGGCGATGCCACACAAATGTTTTACGAATTATCGGTGAACGAGGGTTTAGTAGTGTCGCTTGTGCTTGCATTTTGTGGGTTCATATTGTTGTATAGACATCTGCAACATCTTTTACGGAATCTTCTCTATCCTTTTACGGAATCGGAATCATCTTTCTGTCCTCATCACGGATATGATACTCATTTTTGACACTGGCGCCATTTTGGACCGGGTGGCGCCACAATCTGATTCCCACTAAATTCGCTGTAAACTTTCTGTATAAGGGGTTATTCGGGGTCCTGGTTTGTTGTTAGCGCTATTCGGCGCCTGCTTCCTGCTCGTCTGCGCCCTCGCACTAATTAGATCGCAATAGGACTAAGCCTTTGAGTAGTGTAGGGCTCCAAAGTGGGTAGGCCATTCCCCTGTGGTCTGACACACTCCAACTTTTGCCTCACGGCGGTGTTTATCGCTCTCCACTTTCTCTACCGATTTGGCGCGTGCCGTGGCGAGCGCGCGAGTTGGAGTCCGCGCCTGCGAACTGGCGGGTAGGTTTGAAACCGTCCCATGTTACGGACGAGTTGGTAGTGCCCGCGAACTGTGCTAATGGACCGTTTTCAAACCTACCCGCACAGTTCGCGGGCACTACCAACTCGTCCGCGCTCGCCGCGGCCGCGCCCTAAATCGTGAAGAAAGTGGGGGCGCGTTTACTCACTCAGAAGTTTCACTCCCCTCCCCTAAGCTTAGTCGTAAGCGCTGTAGGTGAGAAAGCTTAGAAAGCAGAAAGTATGCGTTAAACAGCACGAATGTGAAAAATGAGTGTCATATTCATGATCAGGGCCCCAAATAACCCCTATGCAGAAGTTTACAGTCGTCTCATCAAACGTCCATCAACCATTCCTCTTCCAGGTTCTCCAGAAGCTCTACCATCCATCTCTGCAAAAATAACCTACCTCCCTCTTCACTGCTAGTTAGCGGTCCACTTCTGGTTACCATTTCCTCGTTCATTATCAAATCCATGGCTATTAAGCTTCAAACTCCTTGTCGCAATCAAAGCCGACACAAATATCGCGCTCCAATCGCGCGTTCTTATATACCGTAGTTGTTTTCGCTACGGGTGCGCCAGCCTGCCGCGCGATGTCGCGTTGCGAAGAGCGAAAAAGTCGCGTTCTGTCTAAGTACTGGGCCGCACCTCGACAGGAGGTGCGTCGCGCGGCGAAGGCAGAGCCTAGCGGACGAGTCGCAGCGCGTACTGTAGTGACTCCGCGCAAAGTCGAACAGTATGTACCACTTTACGTCCCACATCTTACAGCACGTGCTACAACTCGTTCGCTGACTGTGCTTTCTTGCCGCGCGACGAGCCGCTTGTCAGGTAACCGCCGTTTTCGGGCGCACAGCAATTTAGGCTAAGTGTCAGGGAATGATGTTAGAATTTCCATTCGAACACTTCGAGTCTAAAGCCTCGCTCGCATCTGTGCATATGGCACTACTTTGAACAAGGACGGTCGCTGATTCTTCTCCTTCTCCTCCTTTCTTCTCCTTCTCCGCAATTGCCAGGACACGCGAGCTGGCAGGTGTGACATGGGGAGTGTGAGGTCATCTGCATCCAAAGTCCCTCTCCCGTGCCACCATGTGGCGCACTGTGCGCAAGCACGCGCGGCTATACGAGCTCGCCACGCCAAAAACGGCAATGTGTCAAATGAGTTCATATCTTCCACACCCACTTCTGAAGCCTTTTTTATCGCACTTATTGCTTTCAATTTAAACTTCAAGGCTTGGTCATCCATAAGCGATAATTCTTCAGCACATTCTTCCCTCCCTTTTCATGACGGTGTTACGTCATGTTACTTTCTATGAATTTACAATTTCTTGAAAGGTCTTTCACGAAAGCATAAAACCAGCGTTCTTACAATAATCTTTCGTTTCAGTTAATATACTGGTGGCACTACCTATCGCAAACCTTCGACTACAAGGTTCAACAAATAACGTCTCATTAGTGTATTACCATTTAAAAATCATTTCAGCAACCCCTAAAATTTTTGTGTGTTTTGTGTATGCCATTGGTTGAAAAATCATTCGCGTATATATCTCTATGTATGTATGTACGTATTTCTATGTATCGAGATGCGTGTTGATATGTTCAAAATCTACTGCATATGGCTCCGAATCTCAGTATTTCCTTATCTTTGTCTCATAGCGCCAGCACTCGCCCTTAAAGGCCAAACTGAGCAGGATTTTCGGGTGAGAACATAATGCTATCCTCTTCAAAAAACAGCAAATGGGAAGAGTTGTTAGGATTAGAAGTTTCTTTCCGCTTGATATCATGCGAGGAGTGCGATATTCCTGTTCTGTGCTCCTCATTCTCCCGTTCGGGTGTCGGTCAGGAGGCCAACGTTGTAGCGATGCGCCAGTTTCTCGCTGGTGCGAGCTAGCATAGCACTTTCGTGGCAAATTGGTTAGTTAGCCTTGGTGCACGTTAAGTACGGATCGCTTTACAACTCGGATCTAGATCCTTCAAGAATGCTAAATCAGTTTCTGTCTGAAATTCAGAGTCAATTAATGGCTCGTGCAAGAGGAACTGGAAGTCCGTAGAAGTTTGAGAGATGAAAAAAAATGTCCTTGTTCAATCACACCCAGCACTACGGTCAACCGTAGCTTTCCGTTCGTTCATCGTTTTCATTCGTTTTTTGATCAGTCGTTTTTTCGGATCCAATGAATTTTGTGAGCCCCTCGATCTCCCGATCTTCTATGGAACCGCCAACACCACACACACAGGGGAAAGGAGCCTCAAGGTGGGTGGACTTCGTGCAATAAAGGGATTGCCTATGTATAAAAATAGAAATACTCGTCGTGGATTTGAAAGCCTTAAGTGCGTACTGCTTCTATAGAATCTGATTTTGGTATTAGGGTGACACTGGCGGCATACTCCCAAAAGTTCTTCCAGTTCTGCCGTAGATCGTGCGGGTGGGGTGGGGGAGTAATATGCAAGACGCATTTCTCCTGCAACCATCACAGCTTCAAGTTCGGCAAACACTCAGGTCCAAATGTAATGCTGCACCGCAGTAACGTAGACTCCCTTTACCGACACTCTTTCCCGACATGGCTACAAGTTGTATCCGATTATTGGAACCTGATCGGATGTTGCTTGAATAGCATCTTCACCTCTGCTATGTTGAAACAATTTTGTGCTCATTCGGTGTGCAAGAACATTTTTGATTAGGAAGAAACATTTTGATATCTTTTTGATGCGTAATGCGTTACCCATCCTCAACGATCAATTTATGAATGATCTCCTTTGACTGGTATTTTTCGTTTACTGGAAAGTGAATGTATGTTAGCCTATTTTGCGATAAGCGTGAACGATTCGAAGTTTATTATGTCACGATTTGATTCCACTAAATTAAACAATTCAATAAGTTTGTTTGTCCAACACGTGATCATACGATTTCTTGCAGGTGGTGTTGAAAGAACGGGACTCCAAATACAAGGCTTTCTCCTACGGAAATAGTAAGAATTATGAAGTAAGGAAATCACTGCTGCTTTTTTTTTTATCTCGATCAGGACCTCCCTGACTGTTTGCTGTGGGGCACTTGCGGCAGTTCCACGAAAAATATGAAGGGCCAGAATGAAAGAATGCGAGCGCAGAGCGCGTACTGACTTGGCGCCATAGCTTGACAAGTCTAAGGCACTAAGATAAGACTCAAGGATTCAATAGAGCTCCGCCCACACCATACAACCCGCCCCAAAATTAATCTTATTTCGCTCCAATGCTACTGAAGAGAACTTCATTTTCGTCTTTGTCAACGGATTTCTTCCCGTTTTTTTCATTACTGGCTTTCCACTTTCATATCTCCAGCGTCACTTACAAGCGCAAAAACACAACAGGTGAATTCCGGATATGCCTTTGAATTATATTCCGCGATTGAATAGATGTGCACTAAGTACTCAAGGATGGATGTAAGTGTATTTAGTGGTTAATCAGTAATAAAAACGAGAAAAAACCGCCCAAAGAAGTTGAAACTACTAAAACTGAAAAAACTGAAAAAAAAACTGAAACTAGACCTGAAAGTAGCGGAGCAGGTCAAGAAGTTTACGATGTTTTTTGGCTTAAATTCGCTCAGAATATGCTCTGAAACCGTAGTTAAAAAGATAGGAAGACGTGAGCCTTTGGTATGTTGAGAGTGTGGTCGAATATCGGACGTTGCCACCCATTAGCCAAAAGTTCTGATTGAAGCACTCGTGCGCAGACCATTGAGGAGGTTCTGCCCAACCTGGGCGTATATGGTTTGTAGAGCCAAGCTATACGGAAGTAGCTGGAAAGTCCAAAAATTTGATAGGGCGTGCCGCGACAAATCACCAATTTTGAAGGGTCGTCCATCAATTAACTCGCTTTATGTGATTACAGCAACTTGCTTTTTTATTACCAGATTAGTCCCCCGTCAACCGCCGGGACCTTCCTTTCCTGCGCAAGCTTTCTATCCTCCGCTATGGTCCCTTCCTCCTGTGACACCAACACCTCCTGGAAGTGACGCGTATGCAACACAATGGTGTTTCATACAGTAGAAGGGACACAATCATGATATGACGGTAGATTTTTCGCTTCCCTTCCTCATCCTCCCTTCCTCTCTCCACTGCCCTCCAGCTGCCACTGCAGCACCATGTGGAATGAACGGAAGTGTGCTAAGCAGGTGTTTATATAGCCCTAAGAGTGTTATCACAACTATCCTGCTACAAAACATTGATATCTCAAATCCTGTAAGCTACCCGATTTGTTAGCGGTTTGTTTATCCCATGAGCTTCCTTCTCACTCACTTCATTTTGCGGACGGACACACATACATACATACACACACACACACACACACACACACACACACACACACACACACACACACACACATACACACACACACACACACACACACACACACACACACACACACACACACACACACACACACACACACACACACACACACACACACACACACACACACACACACACACACACACACACACACACACACACACACACACACACACACACACACACACACACACACACACACACACACACACACACACACCACACACACACACACACACACACACACACACACACACACACACACACACACACACACCACACACACACACACACACACACACACCACACACACACACACACCCACACACACACACACACACACACACACACACACACACACACACACACACACACACACACACACACACACACACACACACACACACACACACACACACACACACACACACACACACACACACACACACCACACACACACACACACACACACACACCCACACACACACACACACACACACACACCACACACACACACACACACACACACACACACACACACACACACACACACACCACACACACACACACACACACACACACACACACACACACACACACACACACACACCACACACACACCACACACACACACACACACACACACACACACACACACACACCACACACACACACACACACACACACACACCACACACACACACACACACACACACACACAACACACACACACACACACACACACACACACACACACACACACACCACACCACAACAACACAGAACGGCAGAGAGAGAGAAAGACAAAAAAGAAGAAAAGAAGGGGAGGCATGCAGCGGCTGCCACACACACACAACAGCACACAACACACACACCACACACACACACACACACACACACACACACACACACACACACACACACACACACACACACACACACACACACACACACACACACAACACACACACACACACACACACAAACACACACACACACAGAGACACGAGAGAGAAAAGAAAAAAGGCCAAACACACCCAATGGAATATCGAACGGAGAGGATCACAGGACAGCACAGCACACACACACACACAACACACACACAGCACAGGGGCAGATTCACCACGACACCACAGGCCGACATCACAGCATTCACACGACACCACGATCAACACACACCCCACACACTACGACACACACTAACAAACCACGCACCCCGCAGCACAGCACAAAGGGGGGAGGGAGAGAACACACACACACACCACACACACACCCACACACCACACACACCACACACACACACACACACACACACACCACACACACACACACACACACACACACCACACACACACACACACACACACACACACACACACACACACACACACACACACACACACACACACACACACACACACACACACACACACACACACACACACACACACACACACACACACACACACACCACACACACACACACACACACACCACACACACACACACACACACACACACACACACACACACCACACACACACACACACACACACACACACACACACACACACACACACACACACACACACACACACACACACACACACACACACACACACACACACACACACACACACACACACACACACAACACACACACACACCACACACACAAGGCCCATGGGAGCGAACGACACCAACAGACACAGTTAAGCCGCTATCTAAAAGTGACTTCACAGTTCAGCGCTTTATAAATTAGTGGGATTGTGACGCAGCGATGGCAGGAGATGGTACAGTACCCATCGATCCCCTAAATTTTTATTGTAACTTATATATTTCCTCTGCTGAATAGATCGACAACGATCAAGCTCCTCAAACGTCCCAAAACCTAAACGGGGCTACAGGGGATGTGGCAACTTTTATAAACTCGGCAGTTAACATTTTCCCATGTCGTCAAAGGAAGAACGTTTTGTCTGGCTCATGACTATTGTAAATTTCTTCTCACCGCAATCGGAAGTCTGCTTTCATTTTATGAGGGCTATTACTGGGTTAGTCGTCAAGGAGTTTCAGCCATCCACCCTCAAAGACGCTCATGATATCCACTTCCATGAGCCGATCTGAAAAA